AATTCATACGTATTGGCAGGAAGACAAAGGTCAGCGGGCCCCGTTAAGATATCGTTCGTTGGCGGCGGTCAGAGAGGTTCGAAAGTTTGGCGACGCGAACGCATCGAAATGACAAATGATCCGGATTTAGATGATTGTGCCTTTCTATCAGGTAGACATACATCTCTCTATGCATGCAAACACACATAACATATTATAAAGGGTGATTTTTTAAGAGTTATAGGAAAGTTTTTCAAAAAAAAAAAAATAAATAAAATTTAGAAAATGCATGAAATCTTTATTTGAACCGAGAGTACGGTCCATATGATTTAGTGTTTGAAGAATATTTCATGCAAATGCTTACCGTGGCTGTGCCTTAAATGCTCCATCCGCTTAGTCCAATTTTGGCATACTCTTTCCAACACTTTGGCCGGTATCTCACGAATAAATGCTTTAATGTTGTCCTCCGATGGGTCAATGGAAGCGTTCTTGTCAGCATAGACATTAGATTTAAAATAAAACCACAAAAAATAGTCTAAAGCCGTTAAATCGCAAGATTTAGGCGGCCAATTGACCGGTCCCGAACGTAAAATAAATTGTTCACCGAACTCGCCTTTCAATAAGTCCATTGTTACGCGTGCGGTGTTGCCGGTGGCAACGTCTTGTTGAAGCCACATGTCATGCTATGGCATTTTAGGGCAATAAAAAGTTTGATATCATCTCACGGTAGCGCTTACCATTCACAGTTACGTTACGATTCGCATCATCTTTGACGAAGTACGGGCCAATGATGCCACCAGCCCATAGACCTCATCGAACTGTGACTTTTCTGTACACATTGGTAGCTCTTGCAATGCTTCTGGCTGATCTTCACTCCAAAATCGACAATCCTGCTTATTTACGCACCCATTGACGCTTCCTCAACAGAGCACGCATTTTGTTAATAAAATTCAATAATTCGCAGGCGTTGTTCGTTTGTAAGACGGGTTATGGTTAAATTATAGACCAAACTGAAGATGCTTGACGGTGATGCAAAACACGAAGCGTGCGTCAGCTGTTTATACCAGGGGTGCCGAAAAGATGATAGCTAAAATATCACCCTTTACTTACATATATTATATAATAGAAAAATGTATTCATGACTTTTAAAAAAAAGATTACTTTCGAATAAATTTGTTAAAAATTGTTAGTTTTCAGATAGAATTATAATGGGATTTTAAGGAATATTTTTCAAACCGTTATGGAAAGATCCATAGCGGGATAGCGGTTTGAAGAATTCGATGCAACTCCATTCAAAGTTATTAAAAAGAGTTCGGTCAGCTGGTGACTTTAAATTTGTGTTTGTTAAATCTTAAAATTCCAAATCCTTTGCTAAATTGCAGGATAGCTGTCAGGTCAGGTCAGACGAAATCTCATCACCAACGCAAACAGAAATTCACCATGTGATTCTCTTCGGGTTGCAGCGTAATTTAGAGCCAATACAAATATCCAGTGAATGCCAAAATCCATGGGGAACGATTGCACCGTCTTTAAAGACTATTTCTAAGTGGTTTCGAAGATTCCAGACTGGACATTTTTCCGTGAAGGACGAGCTCTAAGAAGGTCGACCAAATCTTCCACTGATGACATCTCTGTATCTCTGGTGAAGTCCAAAATTGACGAAGACCCACAATTGACACAAGAAATGATTGGTCATGAAAATGGGCTTGAATGCCATGGCTATATCGGGAATATTAAGTAATCACGGGATGCACGAAATAATCTTCTCGATGTGTACCATGAACTTGAGATCCTAAAAGAGGCTCGAGTGCATGTTGCTCAATTTCTCCTAAACCAATGGTAAAACTAGTAAATTTAGTAAGCTCCAAACCAAACAGCAGACTATGGTATGGAGCCCAACAGGGGCAAACCCACCCGTAAAATCTAAGCAACGAAAATCAGCTGCAAAGGTAATTATGCCAGTTTCCTTAACCCGATCTAAAATCGTAGCTGCTATTCCACTGGAAAATGGTGCTCCCAAGAGTGCTTACCAAAAGTTTCTCAAAAGTTTGTGAATCATGACAGCGCGCGAGTAATTTTATTGCGATCTCTGGGATCTCGGAAATACGTCCAGAACTATATTCCGCGGATATAGCACCTTGTGATTTCTGGTTATTTCCAACAATTAAAAGGAAAAAAGCAAATTTAAAGGTCTTTAACAGCAACGAAGAGATAATTAATGCAGTTAACGCTGAACTTGATAAGTTTAAAAAGCTAGGTTTAAGATTACTTTCAGAAGTGGGTCTATAGCCTTAGGAATTGTATTGAAACCAATGGCGGTTATGCAGAGAAGATAAAATAAGACAAACAATACAAATAAATATATAAATAATTTTTTTCTGGTCAAGTTACCAAACTTCTGTTAATCCTTGTATTGTGACAGGTTTTATAATGTCTCACCCAAAAACTAAGAATTCTTTAACAACATCGATATCTAATTGACACACACCCGTTTAGAGTACAGAGATATCATGTGGAAGTTCGGTAAGATAAATGAGTCTACCCGCAGCTCCTTCAGCGTTACAAGATAGGGAAATAAAAGATTGTTGGTGAGTGGACATAAAGCCATGACCAAATCAATTTCCAAACAATTTTTTCGCAATACGGCCGCTTCTCTACAGATAGCGTCAAAAACTCCAAATGTAGTTCCGATGAGGCTCCGCCGAAAATCTTTTAAATCATGAATTACTCCGTAAAAGAATATTGTGACCAACTCAACTTTACATAACACCACAAAAATAGTCCAGCGGTTCTAAACCGCTTGATCTTGTAGGTCACTCCACTGGTGGCGCAAGAAAATGCGCTCACCCTAAGGTCCCTTCAATAAATTGATTGTTTCGTTGGCTGTACGGTGTGTAGCGCCGATTTGTTGGAACCAAATCAAAAGTCGATCACATAATTTTTTTTTTTTTTTTTTTTTTGGGAAAATGGGGATCGGTGGTCATTTTGAGTGGGATTTTTTCCACTGGTAAGTCAAGATCCTTCCACAAAATATTCAATATAGCGGATAGGCTGTTGTTGCGCGCGATAGTGGTGGAACTCATTTGAGTATACCTCGATATATTGCTCCACAGCAGCAATTGCGTTTTTGGTGCGCACTGTTCGTCGTTTTCCATTTGTGACCACGAATTGGCATGGGAGCGCTTAAAACGCCAATGTAGATGAAAATACTCTGGGTCGGATGAGCTCTTTAGTTTATAAACATCAAACAACCAATATTGCTAGAATATTCGAGCTCACGCCTCTTCGGTGATATTTGTCACCTTCAAACTTAAAACTTGACTTATGTTCGGGTTCAGCTACACCAGTACAGTTTGATCTTGGATGCTGTCATTTCGTGTCTTAGCTGATAAATGTATGAAATATGGATCATAAACAAATACTCACTCATGGGCTGTCATACCGATCTACATGAAGTAGTTGGAACAAATAAAAAATCCTATAGGGGCATTCATTGACTTATGTGGACTTTTACGTATGCGAATGTGAATTTTTAAAATTATTCACGGTATCACTTATGAGACAGGAGACATTATGTATCCACCACTGTGAGTTCCTTGATAAACGAACCAGCGGCTTTCAGTCGAATACTTAAAAACAGTTTGCCACGCGAAAGATCTTGCCATCCAATCTTCGGACATATATCCTAAGCGTCTATGTCGGATAATACGGGAAGCACTTGAAAACCGATCAGATGGAGATTATACTCCTCACGAGCAAGGCAGAAACTCGTTCTATCCTCGAACTCGCTTAAATATCTCACATTATCTCTTGAAAACAAAAGTTAGCTGGAGGGAACTTATCGAAAGAGGGGGTAGAATAGGAAAAGACGGTCATAGTGAAGATATCCATATATATACTGATGGGCTCAAAAGCAGGAGCAGGGTTCTTCTATGACATCACAAATAACATAGCTTCAACCCCAAGCATAAATTTTGACATTACTGAAAGTTCCAAAAAGTTAATCGCCTTCATGTTTCTGGTAGATAGCCAAGCGATTGAGGCATCTGTGCCCCACGAATCAAGAAGGCATTGCAAAAGGGAACGAAATATTAACCATGGGGAACACCTAACGGTCTGCAGTACTATCAACGCTGCACGTGATATTATGCTATTGTTTAGCAGTGTGTAAAGCAGACCCATAAAAAACTGACTTTTATCAAACAAAACGAAACTCAGTATTTTTGTTGGTAAATTGGAATCTCTTCACTGTCGTATTTGAATAGCTCGGACGGCAATCCATGAGCTCCAGACACTTTGTTGTTCTTCAAGTGCACAATTGCATCATTACAGCCACTCAGCAGGCTGGTGTGTTCTCTGCATAAAATCAGTACACTCTGGAAATCATTCGCTAGATCTAATCTGTGGGTCCTACAAGAGTTTGTTTGTACCCATTCAGATAATACAAGCACATACCAAGCTCGGACGAATAAAGGCTGTAAATAAGAAATTAAGAGTATTAGGGTGAGACAATTTCGAGCTAATTCACCTTAAAGCAAAACTACACAAATTTCAAGCAGCAACTTTTATCATTTATGCAAAACAAGGGGTCTAGAAGAGAGAGAGAGTCTATATATAATAAAACAATAATAAAGAAAGAAAAAAATAATTTTTAGCACCAGCACTGCTTTAATTTAGTTTTATGAAAAATTTGCCTAAATTTTATACAATAACAAAAATGGCAGATTTTGAAGAGTTAAAGTAAATAAATAAAAAAAATGGAAATATACTTTAATGGTTTATGAAAGCTATTTTTAGCGAATTGGGCTTTCATGCGTAATATTACAACTTACTTAAGTACATATCTAAACAAACCTCTTCGAGTATGTACATATGTATTTGTATACGTATTTACAATTTATTTACTGAACTCTCTACTTTTATTCACTTACCTCGTACTTGTAGTTTTTATTGCCCAAAAGAAAATCTAATAAAAGATTCACAACCAAATGTACAAATAAAATTTTTAATTAAATTTACAGGTGGCGAATCGAGTGGTCGACAGACGCGTCAGGGAGTCGCTGTTTGTTCGCAGAGACGCGCGCTACTGGTTGCTGGCATTGTTTTGGGTTCGCTGTTGCTCACCGCACTGATAATCGCCTATGCTGGACCACAAACTGGTAGGTTGATAACATTTGTATTTATATATGTGCGTGTGTTTGCGTGCTTTTGTGTGGGTTATGTTTTGAATGCAGATGTACGAGCATATTGTGGTGAATAATGCTAGTTATATTTGCGGTTACGTCTACATGCATTTCAACTTACACACACTCATGAGCATACAAGTACATTTTTTTGTCTATAAACTTTCATGCAATTGAAAACTCCGATGCACTTCCCACATTTCCCACTCTTCAAATGCTACATACCTACAACTATTTCATGCCCTCCCTATAGGAAAATGTGTAACTTTGATAAATGTTTTATTTTTTCAAGTTTTTTCCAAAATCATAAATTTATTCTCCACCGAGCTCCTCCTGCTCCTTGTAACATTATGGATGTCATTGCAGGCAATTTATTCTAAGCCAACTCTGGACGGATCATGTATTTTTTTAAGGCGACTTTATAACCATTTTTATATCTTACAATCCATATCCCTCATGACAAAAAAATGTAACAATCGATTTTCAGAGGCTTCTCTGGAGGCCAATTATTCACCAGCAAAATCTTTCACTTTAGAGAGGAACAGATAATAATCACTTGGGGCGAGGTTCGGACTAGAAGATGGATGCTTAAAAACCCTACAACCAAGCTTGCGAAGCTTCAGGCTTTGCCCTGATGAAACACAATTCCCCTGGCCGATTGCTTCCTGCAGACAGTCCAACTGCTGACAGTACAGATACGAATTAAGATTTTGGATGATTTCTTGCCAATCCCATCAAACACAAAATAAAACCCTCCTGGCCGTCAGTGCTGTCTGCCATACCATTTTTGCCGGCTCACTGCTCTGGGGCCACGACCGTTTTTCACCAGCAGCCACCATCCATTTCAGAAATGGGTACATTTTGCTATAATTCAGTAGAGATTCGCAGATGGAAAATCGGTCAATGAGGGGTTTTCTTATTATATCATGTGGCATCCATACCTCGAGCTTCGTTGTCGTGTATCCAGCCATTTTTAAGTTGTTTCAAACTGTTTTTTTGTGTAATGTTGAGTTACTGGTAAACGAAAAAGTGCACGCATGACGGTCGATTTCGACGAATATAGATTATTTCCTATTTGTTGGTGGGCACCTTCTATAAACGCTCAAACATTACTGAGCCGCTTTTATTCAAATATTCAGGAAATCCTCTTAGAAATCCAAAGAGTGTTCTCGTGAAGTTTGAATATTGTTGAAAGAGAGCGGCTCCTGTCGGAAAAATAACATCAAAAAAAATCTTTTTTCGTTTTACCTGAAATTTGGTAGACATGTAACTTATTAACTATATTAAAATAAGGATCACTTTTTCTTCCGGCACTTGATAATTTTTGGCTTAGATTATAACCAACATATCTGGAAAGCGACGGGAAGATGTTTGCTTAAATTAAGATAATGACCGCTTTTTCTTAGGAAACATGGATCTGGATGAATGTGAACTGTCTGCCGAGACAAATATTTTTACGGTTCGTTGAATTTTTGTACGAAAAAACGGTAAAGGTGACGACGAAAATAGGTAAGATGATAACTTACTGCAGCTGAAATTTTTTTGAATTTTACCATGTGGTGCAGGTTGGTCTTATATGTTTAACGTTGTTGAACTTAGATTAGAATAGCGGTGTTCAGCTTTCTTCGAGGCATTCGATGCCACTAGTCTCTGACACTAGCCTCTGATACAAATACTTAACTAGATCAATAAATTTAAAAAATGCTTATTTTTCTCTAATTGAATCTTAATTATGCCTTTACATTATTCTTTCCTTTTCCCTCTTCTTTGCTCAAAAAATATTTTAATTAAGTTGAACAAAATTGAAAAAGATAGAACAACGTGTGGTCAGGCCCTTTAGTTTTCCAATAACATGAAAATACGCAGTACTAAATCCTACAGCTGACTAAAGACCTGGAAACACGTTCATTTTGTTCGAAATATAAATAATGCTTTCTTTACGGCGAAGAGATCACCGACAGATCGATAAAAATGAGTATGATTTCGATCCAAGCATAGATCGTGCGCAGATATAATATATTTCCTTACCTTTTTTATTATTTGGCGGTTTGAATGTGAGTAAGCCCAGATCCGAATGTTGTTTTTTGGCTTAGTTCGAGGCATTCATATTGATTTGTTTGTGAAAGACTTTGAGCAACGTGGAAGCGACCCACACATACAAATAAGTAGATAAATTAATCTAAATATATATTGAAATTTTTACCTGTCCTTCCTCGATCAACTAGCGTACGTGTTCAATGCTTGCATAAAATTCTTAGAGATAAGCCGCCGTATACGAGTTCGAGTGCGTGTCAACCCGCAAAATGTTGTATCGGTCGAAGTATTTTCCCGCCTGATATTGGAAATGTGGAATGGAAAATTATCAATTGATCCGACTTCAGGACGGATTGCATTGCCTGATAACTTCTGTAATTTATTGACATCTAAAGAAGAATTCTGAGCCATCTATTCTCGCTGCAATCAACTAAAATGTCTACAACATTCAACACCATTGCGTCACTTATAAGTCGATATTCTCGTACACCGTTGTGTAAGCAGATGATGCAGTCTATTATTCAACAGAGTTCTTGTATTCTTTGGACTTTGCGGTGGTATCACAGTACGTAATTTTAATCAGCCGTAACTCTTTCCCACAAATGAAGAGACCTACAGTTTAGTCTAAGCCTTGCCATAGCGGCCGGGATTTTGTAGGGGAATTTATTTTCATTCCATTAACACACTTGGATAGCGAGACATTCCCTGCCGATGCGCGACTGCAATGTTGATTTAACAAAGACTCGCATTCCATCCTCCAGATCGGCTATTACGTCCGACATTATCTATTACCTGTTGTCCTAAACCTAGTTAGGTCGTCGAAAAGGTGACAGCCCTTGGCCAGATACAGTTCGGGTGAACTCAGGTGTGTAGAACCGGCTAAGATCAGATTCGAACCCAACATACCCAACGTATGCCTTGGATTTGGTAAGTCTCCGCACGACCTTTTCACATGCCCCTTTAAGCCGACACTTCTAACCCTCCTCCCCCTGTGGTCCGATTTCTGGTCCCTTCATTAGATGACCTCGGTGACCTAGATTGATTTAATCTGTCCCTACAACAACAACAATAATAACAACAGCGTCCGAGACTTCATTTCGAGTAAAGCGAGTACAGTTCACTCTTCAAAAAGGGTTTACAACCACTATCAAGAAATTTCAAGGTCAATCTTTGAACTTTAAATACGATTATGTGCGAAGCAATCACATAATTGTGTGTTGCATGTTCCAGTGTTGGGTGGGTTATCAGATAACCGTTCTACTTGCGTCGCTGAGAATAATACAAAAATGTATATACCAACAACAATTGAGTAAATAAATGAAATTGAAATCTGAAAGTTACAAAAGAAGCAGAAACGGATAGCATAATAGTTGTTTATGAGTAAAAGTACCAGGTTCAAGCCTCCATATTTGAATATTTTAGAAAAGCATTCCGATCTATTATGAATTTTTGTTCATAGTGATTAATGTAGTTTCTTTCGAATTGTGGGCGATCCGCGATATGCAATGTCTAGCCCACGGATTTGCCTTGCAGTTGGGATAAGCAGTGGTTTTCAGCAACCGAAAGGCATTAGCTATCGCTCGTTACTGAATCGTCTGAATACTAAGCAAACTTAACGCTATTATGCTCAAAAGGCAGGAGAAATCTTTTCTATTTTTTACAATTACTATTCCCTGGAAATAAAATACTTGTTGGTAGCGAAGCTTCATGAAATTTTGACGCCTCTGAAAAAACTATGTTGACATGGAAAATTGACGAGCCCCTGCTTGCCACAAGCTCGAAACGATCAAACAAAAAAAAAAATGGAGCCTTTTATTTTTTCGAACTCGAGCGTGTGACGACGCGCATGCTGTCATTTTATGGAGAATATAAAGAACCTGGCAAAATCAATTAAGATTTGTTAGAAAGACATAAACATGATTTCTGCACAGTCGATCAGAACCTTGGCTAATGCATTTTCAATTAGTGGTTATCCTTACTTTTGAACATAATCATTCATACATATAAATGCTTGCGAACTTTGTGATGAGCTACAATTAAACACAATGCAAAGAAGGTCCTTTGTGTCGCTTGGCAACAAGTAGATTCACCTTGCACAACCGCAAATGCTAAGTACATATACATACATACATACATACATACGTTTTGTGTGGGCGTTGCATTTGCACGTAGATGCGCTTATGTGTGTGTGTGCTTGTATGTGTTTGTATGTGTTTATTAAGAGGGTTGGCTGGAACATCAACTCAATTAAAATGACTACGCTTTGTAGCTGACAACAGCGATTGAGAGCAAAAAAAAAGAAAGTAATTAATGCAACAACTACAGTGGGTAAAATGTAAAATGCTGGTAGAGAGACAAAAGAAAAAAGAAATTTATAACAGACAGCAAGAGAGGTGAAAGCGAAACATGCTTAATTTATGCAAAGTGTAAACATAACGTTATCATTGCATATTTAATGGCGTTTAATATGGAGAAGTTAATTGAATTGACAGCATATAACGGTACAACTTGCCTGCATGCGTGGTGAAGTTTATGAGTTTATGGGTTGATGTGTTGATATTTCTGTACGCATGAGTTTACTGTACTCTCCCATATGTACGTCCGCTGAGCCTTGAGGCAAAATCAATTAGTTGTTGTTGAGAGGTGTAACCATTGTTAAGGCAAGGTTATTCATATAGCTATTTTTAACTTTTATTTTATCAAAAGAATTATAAGAATTCTTCAAATAACGTGTATAGAGCTGAAACTTTCTTTGGTGTGTCGGCGAAATTCAATTTAGTAGGGGAAGAGATAAACATAACTAGGGTGGTCTGAAAAGATTCAAAATGCAACGTGATGATGGCAGCTCTCGAAAGTAAGAGGAGAGGAAGGGATATGCTCAATTCCGACTCTTGCTGCCACGCAACCTGGAAACGTGAAAAATCGTATGAGGCCTTTGGTTA